GGAATTTCAATTTTCAACTATATATATATTAACAGGAGATATTCTTATGAATTGGGTTTGAAAGGAAGTGTTGGGATGATTCCTTTTGCTAGACATATAGGAACATAGTTGTGGATCTTGTTGATATGTTGTGTCTTTAATTTATTTTCTCAAGCATTTATTTGTTGTACTAGGAGTGCGTGTCCTGCAATGCCTACAGTCTGACACTAGTAAAAGTTTGTGTTGCAGCCTGCAAGATTCAATTTTTTCATATGCATGTAAAATATTAAACTTAGTTCTGGGAAGAATTACATGATATTGTAGTTATCCTCTTACCTAAAGGGATACTGAAGCATTGTTCACAGCGCTGCCTAATCATGGGGTTAAAACTTCAGTTGAGATAGGTTGTCACCGATTACATCTGACAGGATAATTAAGGAGAAATGAACAGAAAAAATTAGAAATGAATTAATAATGCTAGCCATTTCTTTTCAAGATCTCTTATCTGGTTGGCGATAACTGATAAATAAGGTTTTGCCATTCTGAGACATAAAGTGCATGCAATTATCCTTCCTCTTTCTCCATTTAAAGGTTCAATGGATTTGTTCTGTAAAATGAAACTTTTTCCATGGATAATATTTTGAAGTGGATATGTGTCAACTTATTGTAAGGGTTAATTTATGCCCCTTATGTTTTTCTTTTTCGTAGTCAATTTTGCATATGGGTATTGGTTCAAGGGGAGTTTTTATGCATCATTACAATGTCTAGTAAGTTTATTCTGATGAAGTTCATATTGTGTGGTTGTTAGAAGTTCCCAAGATGTTTGCTTTGCTTGTATTTAGATTCCTGAAAATTGTGTTTTTTTCACTTTTGGATTGAACTATTCATGAAAATTAGTAGATTGACATACATCACCATGAACCCTGCTTGTTCAATTGCATATTATGTTTTTCCTTGGCCTTTTGATGCTAGGGTGAATATCAATCATTTTGTGCGGGGTGTAAAAAGTCAATAAATTTGTTCTTTGTCCTTTGAGCTTCCTAGATCCATGGGCACCTCGCAGTTTTCTTATGGTTTGATTTTTAACTCTGCAATCTAGCATCCCTAGTGAAGAAAAAAGTTTTTGATCTGATTATTCCTCTATTCTTCTCAACTCAGTTTTGTTTGGAAGTTAAAGAGCTTGATGACCAAATTGATTTTATTTTCTTGATCGTCCAACATGAATGTGGGTTTTTCACTTACCATTCTTTCCTGAATAAAAATCTTGTGTGAAAAGCTTAGGAAAGAGTAAGTACTCAAGAGGTGCACACGTCATAAAGTGATTGAGTTTTGTTGCAAGTCATTTAAATTCATGTATATGTATTTTAGTATTTGTATCTGTATATATGGGGTTTGTAGAGAGTCTCCTTGAACTTCTTGTTTGTGTGTATTAGCCTTTTTTATCCTCCTATTTTTGTTTAATTAACATCATTTGAACGATAAAAGGATAATTATGTTGAGATGGTTGATATTTACTAATTTGGGATGTATATGCTTGAGTTTGTATGGTGAATGTGACAGTGTTGCCAAGATATACAAAAATGTTATATATGGAGTGAGGCCTCAGGCAATGAACAATGCAACAAACCCCAAGGTGAAGGTGTTCATTAAGAAATGCCTTTCTTAGCCAAAAGAGAGACCCTATGCCTTTCATCATCACCAAGATCAATTTAAAGGTGAGGGAGGATTTAAAGTGAGAGGAATGAATGGTGGGTATTGTCTATTGTGAATAAAGTTTTATGTTATCCAAATTTGAATTGATAGAAAGTTGAGATGTATTTTGTGGGCATTTATTAATTTTTTTTTGATTTTGATACTCTCTTTGTACATAATTATGATATCTTCCAACAAAAATAGATTGGTGTTAATACATCTTATTATATATTTGGCTGAATTTGTCGGTTATGATGGTATTTGAGTGTATGTGCAGGCTCATTTTATTGTATTTATTAGATTTAAAATCAATATGTTTATTTATTTTTTGGGTATGTTATCCAAATTCATTTGGAAATATTATACTATCAAAATTAGCCACTAATCCCTTGTCAGTAGGAGTATTTTAGTTAAATTATATTCCATTCCAACAAAAAGATTTGGTCCATCCAAACATAGGAAAGGAATGGACCCATTCTAGCACTTAATCCCAATAGATGTTAAACAAGGGAATGCCGATGTCTATTCCATTCTATTCATTCATTCCACTTCAACTTCATTTTATTATTGCATACCAAATGTACTGTAAAAGTTTTTGGCATTATGAGGGCTATTATGGCTACGAAAACAGTCTACCTCGTGAAGAACTATATGGAGTGGTTGGTTAGATTATGACTGTGAAAACAGTCTATCTCTCTCTTTGAGGGGTTAGATTTTGTATATTTGACGGGTCTAAAATTTTTTCCTTGAGACACAAATAATTTCATAATTAGAATTTTTTTGTTGTATAAGCTATATAAAATCAATTTTCATATAACACGTGATATCATTTTATGTTCAAGAAAATTGGGGAAATTAGTTTAAATTTGTCAAATTAATTGGATAAACAATTTTTAGTCAATGCATCAAATAATTAGCATTGAAGTTCAATAGTTATCGCATTATCGCTCGAGAATAACTAAATTTCATCATAACTCTACAAATTACAAAATGAAAAACACACCAAGGACTTTAGACTCGATATGTAGGGTTTATGGAAATTATATTCTTTCCCATTATACTATGACCCCTATTTTAATTATAGGATTGACTTCAGTCTCATTAAACTTGGTCTTGTGCAAATTGTTAAATTTTGGACAAATAATCTACAAAACTACATTGAATGATTAAGAGTATAAAGTACTCTAATCAATAATAGATGGATAAGAAAAAATCAAGATCATAGTTTAAAAGAAATTATAATTTAGAGAACATTGGAGGGCCATGAATAATGAATGTCAAAAACATAATTTTATTGGTAAAAATCATAAATTTGAAAATTTGAGAGGGATTAACATAACTAGAATGGTTTGAATTTGAAGGGGGGGGGAGTCGAATCATAGACGTACATGTTTTTTAAGTATGTTTGCTAAAAAAATTTATCTCATAATTGTTTGAGGATAACTAATTTTACGTCACAGCTAGAGTCTAGTCAATTTTTGCGATTTAAACCCTTAATATTTAAATTATAACAAAACAACCATATTCAAAACCACCCCAAGATTTTACATAAATATATAAAAACGAAATTTTTAACTGATGTAACTTGTAAGGATGAGCAATAGAAAAAACCATAGAGATACAGATTTTATTTGATGCTGGTAGTAGCAATGACACAATGGTGGTGAGAATACATTTGTCTATTTTGAAAAATTGATAAAATTTTTACTGACTAACATTTTCAGCATTAAGTGATAAGTAGATGGTTTATTATTTAAAATTTTAGCCTATTTTTAAGAAATGCTTAAAATATTAGGTAATGTGAATTTTAGGTTATCAAACGGATTTAATTTATTCAATGTTTAAAGTATTCAGTTTTGATGGACTTCCAGTGTATCTATTTTTTGTAGTGAATTAAGTAATCAAATTATATAGTATTACTCAAATCTAGTAAATCTATTTTGAATCCTAAAATTGATATATTTTTAAAATAAGATAAAACTAATGTCAAATTAACGTGTTGTACGAAATTTATATCTCCATCTATTCTAATATTTTTATAGTAATGTTATACTTACCAAGTTTTTTATCTAATATTTGTTGAATTGTTGAATCCAGTGTATCATCATATTTTCTTTCAAACATTTACTAACGATTTTTTTGATTCAACGCCACATCTATTAACCACAAGGGGTTAGTCTAGTGGTTCAAGGGTTATTTGGTAAGTACCTTAACTTGGTATTAATCAAGGGTTCGAAACTTACTAGGTGCAAACATTCATTGGGCCCATTGATCCTAGATTTACCCCCTATGGTTGGATAGCCAACTTTGTGTGTGGGTCCAGCATTATTCCGACACGAAAGGGTTGGGATAGCTGGAATTTTTGAAAAAAAACAACGGTACATCTATCAAATTTTATATTTCAAATTAATGAGATTCATAGAATCAATAAGTTCCACAAGCTTTCATTAATTATCAAATAGCTCTCAATTTGTTATATCATTTAGAATGTATAATTTTGTAAAAGAGTTGATGAACGCAGCATTTTTCTTTTGGGTCCCACAAAAAATAATGGTCCAACCTTTTAAACTCCCTTAAAGTTTCATTTTTCATTGCTAGTATTATTTTCGGACGATAAAATTGTGATATAATTTCCAATTAGTTGTGATAAGAATTGATTCAAAATATTAAATAAATTTTAGCATTTTCGATTTCTATCATTGTGTTAGAAGTTTTGCTAAGGGCTCTACCTTCAACTTTTTATTATATTTCATTCATAGTAATAAACTTGGTTATTTAAAATAAGATTTTTATTATGACTAAATTTATAAATTCAAATTTAGCGGTCTAAATAATGGGTAATCTTCTGCTCAACAAATAAGGAGGCCCAAAGACATCTAATTGGTGTATAACTTCGTCACTTCATTTGGATTGCTAAAATTTGTTCATAAATTTAATCAATTTAGCATTGTGGTATTTGAAAAGAAATGTAGTTTCATAATTTTTAGTGAATTTTGATAATTCCTTAGAATTAAATAATTAGAAATTTATCACTGACGAATATATTTGACCCGTTGTTGATGACATGCATTTAACCGAACGTGAAGAAAATTTAATCAAGATGTGTGCAAATTAATTCAAATATTTTGATCATTAAAAATAAATAAATAAATAAATAATTGAGACATAAATGAGCAACCCAAAAAATATTTTGTTTTTGACTTGAAACTATAGTCGTAAGTTTTAAGTTTCAAGCTTATCCAAAAAAATAAAAAATAAAAAATAAAATATAAAGACGCCGAAGGTAATACGTGTAAAATTGAGAGCTTCGAACATTGAAACAATAATTCACAATACTAAAACCCTCCTATTACCTTCTGCTCTTCAGAGCGAGAGGCGCCGGATTCCAATCGCCTTCTCTCTCCGTCAACTCTCTCTCTGTCTCTCTCCGGTATTGTTGATAGGTAACTATGGCGTCTGCGAAAGATTCAGACCCAATGCTAGGGTACCTAACCCGAAAAGAAACAGAGGTAAAGCTCCCACGTCCGACTAGGGTTAAGAACAAAACCCCAGCTTCAATCCAAATCACCGCTGAACAAATCCTCCGCGAAGCTCGAGAGCGTCAAGAGGCCGAAATCAGACCTCCTAAACAGAAAATCACTGATTCCACTGAGCTCGCTGATTACAGGCTTCGCAAGCGCAAAGAATTCGAAGACCTAATCCGCCGAATCCGATGGAACAAGAGCGTTTGGATCAAATACGCCAAGTGGGAAGAGTCCCAAAAAGATTTCAATCGAGCCCGATCTGTTTGGGAACGTGCCCTAGAAGTCGATTACCGTGACCACACTACGTGGTTGAAGTATGCAGATTTTGAGATGAAGAATAAATCCATTAATCATGCAAGAAACGTCTGGGATCGCGCGGTCACATTGTTGCCTAGGGTGGATCAGTTGTGGTATAAGTACATTCATATGGAGGAGATGCTGGGGAATGTCGCTGGTGCGCGACAAATTTATGAACGGTGGATGGGTTGGGTCCCTGATCAGCAAGGTTGGCTTTCATACATAAAATTTGAGCTTCGTTATAATGAAATTGAAAGGGCCCGAGCGATATATGAAAGATTTCTGACTGAACACCCGAAAGTGAGTGCTTGGATTCGGTACGCAAAGTTTGAGGTGAAGAATGGGGAGATTGATAGAGCGAGACAATGCTATGAGAGGGCAGTGGATAAGCTTGCGGATGATGATGAGGCGGAGCAGTTGTTTGTGGCATTTGCGGAGTTTGAAGAAAGGTGTAAGGAGACCGAGAGAGCGAGAGCAATATATAAGTTTGCACTTGATCATATCCCTAAGGGACGTGCCGAGGATTTGTATAGGAAGTTTGTGGCATTTGAGAAGCAGTATGGTGATAAGGAAGGGATAGAGGATGCTATTGTTGGGAAAAGGAGGTTTCAATATGAGGATGAGGTTCGGAAGAACCCACTTAATTATGATGCTTGGTTTGATTATATTAGATTGGAAGAGAGTGTGGGGAATAAAGAAAGGACTAGAGAGGTTTACGAGAGATCCATTGCCAATGTACCTCCGGCTGAAGAGAAGCGCTATTGGCAGCGATATATATACTTGTGGTAAGTTTTCTGTTATTACTGAATATTGGTTGTTGCTAAATGGTGTTTTGCATGCTGATGATGTTTTGGGGATTTACATGTTGCTGAATAGTGTAATTTGTCTATCCTTCAGGATCAATTATGCTTTGTACGAAGAACTTGATGCGCAGGACATGGAGCGGACTAGAGATGTGTATAGGTATATGTCATACACTATTTGATATTCATCTATTCCTAGTGAGCTTTTTAAATATAGGGGTAGGATTGGAAAATGAGGCATTTGTGTGTGTGTTTTTTGGGTGGGTGCATTTTTTTTTTTGGGGGGGGGTGTTGTTAGCTGCTGTTACAGCACTTGGAAATGCAGTCCATGCTGTTGATGCTCGCTCATATGGGCTATATGACGGCTTTAGGCTTCCACATGTTGTCAAAAAGTAGGATGATACATTAACCTTGGTTGGGAACTCGCTCAGACTACGAGTTCCTAAGGAATTGTATCATTGTGAGGCCTTGTTTGGATGGCAGTGACCTTGATTGGGAATAAGATTCTCATTTCTAAATCATATATTATCTTGTTTGGATTGTTAACCACTCAGTAATTCAAGTTGGGAATAATATTACTACCATAACCAAATTCCCAATTAGGGTGGGTATCTTAAACTCATGGTCAATGGTGGTAATCTCGTACTTGCGTATATTGATTGAGTATTCTAAAGAAGGAATAAAAATCTCAAAATGAAACTCTTTCCTAAAATTAATTTAATTCTTTCTTCTTACAATCAATCTCCTTTCTAAAATTAAGTTCTTTACCAAAAAAAATAAAATAATATGATATTAATTCTCACACTAGATTACTGAAAATAATCAGACACTAATATGAGACTACTATTTTAATTGAAATTCGGGTATCTCATTACTAGGAACAAGATACATATTTCTTATTAAGATTATTGTCATCCGAATGTGGCCCAAGGTTTTTTTCTAGTCTACCTAAATGTTGAAACGACGGGTTGTTATGCTATAACCTATGGAAATCGATATTAGGTCAACAGTGGTCAAAACGTACTGAACTTTAGCCAGTTATCTTGTGAACTCAGAAATCAACTATTGGTATTCTCATGATATTTTATTGTTGTTGAGATTCGTCTTCCATAAGCGAATGTTGATTTTAATTTCCTCCAGCCACTTTTCGTGTCATTTTTCTGTTTGAGAGTATGACACATTTCACATGAGTGGATAGGTCCTCCACTCTTGAAGAATTTTCTCATTTACTTTTTCAATTTGGCCAGGGAATGTCTCAAGCTGATTCCCCATGAGAAATTTTCTTTTGCAAAAATTTGGTTGTTGGCTGCCCAGTTCGAGATAAGGCAATTAAATCTCAAGGGTGCACGACTTATCCTTGGAAATGCAATTGGAAAGGCTCCTAAAGATAAGGTATTATACCTGCTCTTAAATGAGCAGAAAGTTTGTTTCCCCCTTTATACCTCTAAATCAGAAGTTTGATTGGTTTTTATGCCTATTTGAACAAACAGATATTTAAGAAGTACATAGAAATAGAGCTGCAACTTGGTAACATAGACCGTTGCCGAACGCTCTATGAGAAATATTTGCAGTGGTCACCAGAAAACTGCTATGCATGGAGCAAGTTTGCTGAGTTGGAAAAATCTTTGTCTGAAACTGAGCGAGCCAGAGCTATTTTTGAGCTTGCAATTGACCAACCTGCATTGGACATGCCAGAATTATTGTGGAAGGTACTTGCGTGCTAATTTATAACCTCTGTCTAATATAGTCTGCTCTGCTGCTGTGGCTTTATTTGATAGTAATTTATTGATTGGATATATAGGTCATGTGCTCTAAATTATCCTTTAACCTAGTCTTCCCTCTTTAATCAAGTTAGAGTTGACCTTAGTTGCATGCTTGGAAATGTCTGACAATTTAATAAAAGATAATTTGAGGCACTGTTTGTCATAATGATTGATGCCTTTTGGTGTTTTATGTGGCCTTGCCTTGTTAATTTTTTTTTTGCCCAAATTTCCCGCACCCTCCGAAAGTAATTCTTTTCTTTTATTTTTTTCCCTCTTTGAAACTCAAAGGAAACGGGGGTGCGAAATGCTGGCTTGTTAGTTTAGTAGTTATGCTCCTTTGATGATAAGGTGCAGTGTGCATTGTTCAGGGTTGTGGTATTGGGCATCAACTCGAATGGCATTAGCACAAATTGGTCACGACTTCATGGAATGACACCGGATGATATGCATGAAATGCATCATATATGTTATATTTTTTAAGCAACAAAATATACGTACATATAAGTTAAAATAGATGTATCCTAACCGTTATCCTTATCGTATTGTATTGTATTCCTAGCCCATCTGGATTTGTGCTTCCTAGTTATCGTTTACACAGAACATGGAATAGTATATGGACAAAACATGCTGGGTTGGATTCAAATTGACTGAATAGTATAGGCTGATACTTTGAACCATTGTATGAAAGGAACAAATGGATTAAAAATTCTCCTCTTTGGTTGTTGGGGATAGGCAAAAGAAATAAAACAAGCTACAGCAGAACCAGAATGAACTTGGGGCATTTCTGTCTCTATCTTTTTGGAGGAAGTAATCTATGAATTGTCTCTGTGTGGGCATCCTACATGTTTTTTGTACAAGTATAATTTGCTTATGGGGCCTATAATTTGTATATTTAGCATCTGCACAATTTGGTTCATAGTTGGTTTTTAGGATCTCCAAATTTTCAATTTGGAATTCTGTGATTAGCTATTCATTTCCATTTTTTAAGGGAAATATTACAGCAATACTAATATATTTTGTCTATATTTCTTAATTTAAGGGGCTCAATCTATGTGCTGATTGTATCTTCTATTCACTGCTTACGACTTGGGAACTCTAGGGTAAATTAAAAGCATCCAAGCAAGAGTAGCTGGGTAAAATGGTGACAGTTAAAACTGAAGCAATAGAAATGGATGGAAAATGTTTTGATGATGCCATAGAGACATTTACGATATTCAAGAAAGAACTTATGAACTGTAGCGTAGAATTCAGAAAGTCATTATTCTGTTAGAAGCCTTTTTATCACTATCCTTCAGAATTTCCCTTCTGAACTTTTCCACCCAAAAACGTTTACTGGTTCACAAGCCACAACACCCCCCCAACAACATATGCCCCCCTTTTTCCTCTTTACTTATGGTGTCCGATCGAGCAGTATGCGATTTAAAAATAAAGGTGAAACAAGGGGCGTGTCGGATTTGGATTGGAAATTTTTATTGTGTTGACTTTTTTGTGTAGCATTGAAGTATCCCAGTTACTGGGTTTGATAATAACATTTCAATTCTCTCATGGCAGGCCTACATTGACTTTGAGATATCAGAGAATGAATTTGAAAGAACAAGAACGCTGTATGAGAGGCTTCTGGACCGGACAAAACATTTGAAGGTCTGGATTAGTTATGCAAAGTTTGAAGCATCTGCTGTGGAAGAGAATGGCCAGGGTTCAGACTTGCCAGAAGATGATGTTCAAGAATATATTCGCGAACAACAAGAGCAGTGCATTCAGCGTGCCAGAAGTAATATATCTAATCATGTTTACTTTTGTTATTGTTAGCAGTATTATTATATATATTCTTTATCTTCATGACCATTATTGTTCGCAATTTTGTCCCTGTAAAATTAAACTCTTGCTTCCTTTGTGCATCAGGGGTTTTTGAGAGAGCCCTTAACTACTACAGAACATCTGCACCTGATCTGAAAGAGGAAAGAGCAATGCTTTTGGAAGAGTGGTTTAACATGGAAAACAATTTTGGTGATCTTGGTGATGTGAGTTTGGTCCGTGTTAAGCTTCCCAAGAAACTTAAAAAGAGGCGGCAAATGGAGGCTGAGGATGGTCCAATTGGGTATGTCATCAACTTCATGTTTTTATCTTCTTCAGATTGGAGGTTTTCATGTTTTGCACCAATTGCAAACTTGTCCAGCATAACTACTCCCATTATCTTTTGACCTTTTGGCTCTCTAGACTTTCACTTTTCTAGCCTTATGTCCACAAGCTTGTTCATATAACCCGCTTTTTGTGTTACACTCAACCATACTAGTTTTCATTCACTTTTTTGTTCATGCTATTTTTTTAAAAAAAATTGCAGGTATGAGGAGTATATAGATTACCTCTTCCCTGAGGAAACCCAGACTACAAATCTCAAGATTTTGGAAGCTGCATACAAGTGGAAGAAGCAGAAGATTGTTTCTGATGAGGATTAGCAGGGTTTGCCCCATATGTATTGTTAGTTAAGTGGTGTGTAGATACTGCTAGGTGTTATTGTATCCCTTTTCATCAAGGCTGGCTGAAAGGGAGGGACATGAGAACTCCCTCTGTCACACATTTTTAGCACTGCTCTTTGCTTGTGTAGTTTTGTTTTTTATTTTCTATTTTTTCCCCGTGACTATATATGCATGCCTTTGATAAAAAAAAAATGGCAAATGGCAAGGCTATATTACATTCATTCTCTCAAAGTAATCCTTCAGTATGTGTTATCCCCTGTCAAGCACAAGTGTCACTTTATGTCTGGAGGTAATAGTGAGAGTCGAATTCAAAACATTCAAATTTATTATTCATTTGGCGCTTTGTCTCATTGCCGACGGGTGCATCACAGTCTTTGTTTCTGTGCGAATCTCTTCATTCCTATGTTGAGATGTAGTTCTATTTTACTTGGGTTGCTACTTAATTGTTGGCCTCTTTTGTGCTTGGACATAACACTTCTCTTATGTGCCCAAGTTTTCTTAGCTCTGTCTATTAATTTTCATTATAAGTCGTAGGATTATACCATTCTTAGATTGATATCTCTTATACCTGCGTTTAGCCCTTCCCATACATCTATTGCTGTTCAAACAGTCTATTGCTGATCAAACATTTTCTGTTTGCCCGCGTCCAAGTAGTTATAGCTAAAGTCTATGTTGAGAATTCACTTTGTTTTTTATGCCTAATAAATAGGTTTATCAACGGATCCGATTTGAATTGGATTCTGTTGAATTTGATTTGATAATTTGATAGATTTTATTTTTTGTGGTTTATATTCAAATTCGTTAACAATTTAAAATTTGATTTAGTTTGAATAATTAAATTTTAACTATTTTTTAAAAAATAATTACTTAATTTTTGTTGTATTTTTATAAAAATATTTTAAATTAGATCATAATTATATTAGATATAGGTATAATCAAAGCTGAATTCGAGAAATCTAAGATATGGAATTCGAAGAATTTGAATAATTGATAAAAAAAAAAATTAATCTGTATACAAATTTAGATTGCGATCAAAATTGGATGAATTGATAAGTCTTTCAAATGTATCTCACTACTCGAATTTTGACACGTGCATTGAGATGGTCCACCACACATTCAATCTGGATGACGTGGCAGTGGACTGACCAACCATTGAGAGAGATGACACTTGGTCCCATGAATGTCCACGTGATGTGACCTTGGTGGCCTTTTTTGTTTTACCGACGACGAGGACCACCCATTGCTACGGTACGATTTATGTTGATATGCCTGCGAACTTAGACCACAACAATGTAATTTTTTTTAATCAGCTGATGACTTTTGAAATGTAATGAAATCTTTAGGCCATTAAAGCTTTCGGTTGTTACTGCTAAGAAAACAAAAAAAATAAAGAAATGGCAATCAATGCCTCGTAGTATACCCTTATCTATCATTGAATTTCATTTATAAAAAAACAAAAGAAATTCAACAAAAACAACATCATATAATTAATTGTTTAAAACTACTATGAAAATAATAGAAAATATGTTTGTATAGTCATTTTATTTGCCTAATCCTATTATAATTTTTGTACGATTGCATCGCGTTAGGGTGAACAAAATGTGTAGACTTTTATTAGTTAATTTACATTGTTGATTAAAAATAACTAAAATACTATGTTGACCAAATTTTTTGACAGATGGCATCATGCAGTTGAATTAGATAATAAATAAGGATATAGGACAAGAAAACAAATTAAACATTTAAACTTTTATAATATTGCACATTTTAACATTTTTACCCGTTATTCTCAACTATATCAAATTTTCTTCGACTATAATATTGTGTATATTAACATTTTTACTAAATATTGAATATTAAACATTGTGGCATATTAATAGTTATTGAATAATTAGTGAAAGTCACAAAGATCCGCTAATTTAGCTACTCTCATTTGACAACAAATATTTTGGGGAAAAGTTATAGTAATAATAAAATTATTGTTTCCTTCAATTCATTTTATATTGCCTATTAAATGTTAATAAATAATATTAAAAATAATTTAGCTAGATCTTTTTTATGAATAAAATATATTTTTAGTCCCTCAAATTAGTTTCGTCTCTAATTTTTTAATTATATCAATTTGATCTAACCAAAATTACTGTTTGAATTGTAATGGAGAGGTTCAAGCGACCATGCTTGAGGCATCACTTTGGTTTCTCAAATTTGAAACTTGTATTATTTTATTCCTTTAAATTTATAGTTTGTGTCACTTTAATCTCTAAAATTTTTGAAAAATACGTGTCGAATGTAATCACATAAGATGCACGCGAGGATCTTTGTTAGTAATTTTAATTGTCATTTTTTTATTGGACAGTGACATAAATTGAGAAGTTTAGGGGTCAAATTAATACAATTAAAAGATTGGGGATCAAATTGATATAAAATATATAATTTGGGGACCAAAAATATTTTTTTACCCATTTTTTATTCATCCAATTCGATTTTTTCAGAAATCTTATAGAAATAACAAAGTGTAGTAAGAAAGATATTTAATCTTGGAGGTCCGAGGACATGTTTTGCCCTTTCAAGTAAGTACGATAATTCTCTCGTTCTCGCGCTCTCTTTTTATCCAATCTATCTGTCTATCTATCTATCTATCTGATTCTGAGTTGCTTAAGACTAGGGTTTTTGCTTTTTCCATGGCTCACAAAATTTCCCACTATTTTACTGTTCTCTTTGTTTTCAGGGGACTTGTAAACAGTGTTATCGTCTTCAATTTCTTCTCTGGGAGCCCCAATTAGGTACCATAATTTCTGATTTAAGTTTGTTCAAGAGTTTCAATCTACTGGTTTGAATTCTGTTTGGTGGAACTGTTGTTTTACCTGTTTGTTTGCTCCGCAATAATTGAAAAAATATTGGAGTTCGAGTCTTTGATTTTCAGTTGTACGAAAAGTTTACTGAACTGAGAACCGTACGATTAATTGGTAATTTGGACATTCTTGTATTGAATGTATATATTGTGTATGCATCTGTGTATCTCGAACCCTCAGGGGTGCTTGGGGCTGTGGGCCTGGGCATTTTAGGCCTGTTTCTATGCATGCATATGGGGGTTGATATTAAGATTATGCTGTAATTTCTGTTAGCTTATTCATTAATTGTAGATGTTACCAGCCATTAATCATGTCTTCGGTCTTCCTCTCTGATGTTTGTGCGTGAGTGTCTATTTTCTGTATATTGTACACGTTCTTGTTTGATTTGCTCTTTTAAAATGCCTGAATATGAGGGTGTTTTTGTTGCAGCTTCAATGCTAATAATTGATTTATGTACTAATTCAATGCTGATAATTGATTTATGTACTTACATTCCACAGCCGTTGAATTCTACCATAAAATTCAACGTTTTCGTAGTTTGGTAACGTTTTCGTGTCTTCAAAACAATCAAAAACAGAGACAATTTTTGTCTTTGTTTTGTGATAAACACTGAAACAAAAAACATGTTTGAGTGTCATTTTTGTCTATCACATTATGAGAATAAAAAAAAAACCCTATTTGGTAACTATTTCACGTTTTATCGTAAATATGCTTTATAATATATCATACAACAAAATATAAATCCAAAAATTCCTTAAACCAAAACATTCACTAATTCATCAAAGAACACCTAAATAAAACAATTAGATTACATAAATCACTACTCACATTAATAGTATTAATCTATATTAATCCATCAAAGATCATCAAACTCATTCAATCTACTAATTAGTTTGTTAGCAAAAAAAAAAAAATTGGGACAAAATGGCAATTTAATAAATTCCAAATGGTAATTTAATCCCAAATAGCTATTCAATCAATCCTAAATTGCAATTCAATCAATCCCAAATTATAATTAATTTCCAAATGATAATTTATTCCGAAATGGTAATTCAATCAATCCTAAATCACAATTGAACAATTTCAAAAGACAATTCAATTGACAATTAATCCAAACACAACACATATACGCACAAAACATAATACACACAACACAACACAACACACACACACACATACTCATCTCTCTCTCACACCCAAACACACGCACACGCACATGCACAAATATGTGTAGATTTGTACAAATTTGTGCATCACACAACATAAAACACACACAAGCTCATCACTCACACACACACACACACACACAACACATACACACACAAACTCGTCACTCTCACACACGTGCACAGATCTTTATAAATATGCACAGATTTGTGCATATATGCACAAATCTGTGTCTTCGTTTGTAGGTTTCACAGATAGCAAGCAAGAGAGAGAGAGAGAGAGGGAGATAGGGTTTCAGTTCGTCTTCATTGGCAGAGTACCATCGGTTCGTCTTCGTCGTTGAGAGCTCCGGAGAAGAGAGAGTCGTTGAGAGCTCCGGAGAAGACAGAGGTGCTGAAAGTGGAGGAGAAGAGAGAGAGTCGATCTGTGTGGAGGAGAAGAGAAAAAAAAGACCCCCTATTTATACTTTGAGAAATGAATGAGTCTTTTATACCTTACAAGACTCGAAGTTGAGTCCTCATTTAATCAAGAAGCGCGTTTTTGTGTTTTGCGTGTTTCCTGAAACACAAATTTTTTGTTCCCATTTTTTTGTCTTTGTTTCCAAATAACTAATGTAAAACAAAAACAAAAACAATACCCAAACATATTTTTGTTTTTATTTTTGACAAAAATTGAAAACAAAAACAGAAAATACAAGACAAAGACAATAAACAAACAGCCCCTTAGTTTGGCATTGTTTTAGGCTTCTTTATTGTCTTTGTTAGTGATAATTGTTTGTAAATATTTTTATTTCTGACTAAGTTCAATTTCAGTGCAAATCAAGTTTTTGATTGAGTGAAGCTGATTCGGACAGTATGGATGGAGGTGTGGTTGATGAAGTGAATGCCGTGGATGGTGCACACCTCCAAAGTAAGGATAGCGAGTACTCATTGAAGTCCAGTAGCTCCAGTATGCTGGAATTGCGTCAGACGGTTATACCTGGTAAGGTTGACGATGGAAGGACGCCCCATGTGTTTGAAGGTGATTTAGATGGTAAGATTCTAGACATAATTAGTGTATCAGAACATTCCTGTGCTGGCCCTCCTTCCATGGATGATGCTGTAGAAGAATTAACACTCAGAAATTATGATAGTGGGAACTTAGCTATAGTTGGTGCTTCAACCAATAGAGATAGAATGCAGACTAAGCAGAATCCGTGGCAGCATTTGTATCAAATAGTAGGTGGATCGGGAGGCGGGAGCTCCTGTGGGAATACTGCTTATGGGGACACCGATCGAGCAGTATCCAGTGTTTGGGAGGATACGGGGAATACAGTTTTTCCAGAGCTATTGGGTGACAAACCACCAAATGACAATTCGCCAAGTAATGAAAATAAACCTTTATCAAGCAATACAGTATTATCTCCCAGAGGTATCAGAACAAAAATTCTGTCTAAATCTGGGTTTTCTGAGTACTTTGTTAAAAGTACATTGAAGGGGAAGGGGGTCATCTGTAGGGGCCCAGCTCGAGTAGCATCTTCTGTTGAGTTTGGGGCCCAGACTTATTCGAACGCTGCTGGTGACACTACAATACATTCTGATGCACCATTGAATTTGACTGCTGAGATTGTGGTGCCTCCTTCCCATAGTATTGCTGAGACTTCTCCCAACTTCTGCTCCAATGCTTTCCATAGTGGGGTCAGTTTGAGAGAGTGGCTGAAAGGTGGACAGAATAAGGGGAAGAAAGTCAAGAGTTTGTATATATTTAGGCAAATTGTGGGTATAGTGGATTTCTCTCATTCTCGAGGAATGTCCTTGCAAGATTTACGGCCATCCTGCTTCAAGTTGTCGCCATCGGATCAGGTTATTTACCTTGGTTCAATGGGTCAGAAAGGAATGGTGGAGAATGTTATGGCTCAAGGCATTCGCCAATCAGGAAGTGATAAAAATGAGACAGGGCCTTTAGAATGGGATATGTCTCCTGTTGTTAGTCAATGGGCAAAGAAACGGAAGTTTGAGGAGAACACGAACTTTGCTAGACAGTGGCTTCGGTTTCCATTAAGTTCTGGCATCAAATCCGCAACTTCAAATGATGTTAATGCCAAAATTGCTGCTCCACAAGTCTCTATGAGTAGATTTGACGATGGGAATAAACCTAGAACAGAATATAACACCCTGAAGAAGTCCACCAGCTCTAATGTTTCTAACACATCACAACCGTTGTCAATTTTCAGTGACCCAATTGAAGAGAAGTGGTATACTAGCCCTGAGGAGCTCAGTGAGAGGTGCTGTGCATTTTCATCAAATATCTACAGTCTGGGGGTTCTTCTGTTTGAGGTGCGAAAAGGGTTGTGCCCGAATTGTTTTGCTCATGCTAAATTGACAAATCATGTGATATGCTATAATTTTAATGGTGTAGTAAGTTTAAATATGATTTCATCCACCTCAATTTCCAGAGGCTAATGACATAAACATTCAAATTGATAATCATAATGAAACTTTAATCCAAATTCATACCATTTATCAGCTTATTTTTAATATTAGGAAAATTCTGGATTATTCTTCAATAGGAATCAGAGAAGTCATTTGAGTTTTCCTTCGGTTCTGGTCATTTATCAGCTTATTTTTAATATTAGGAAAATTCTGGATTATTCTTCAATAGGAATCGAGAAGTCATTTGAGTTTCCCCTCGGTTCTGGTTCTTCTTCAAGAACAGATTGAGTGGGCAACATTACTTTAGGGACTTATACGAGTTGTTTCTTTCAGTTACTTAGCTCTTTTGACTCTGCAAGGGCTCATGCTGTCGCGATGTTAGATCTGCATCATAGGATCCTTCCTCCAAATTTCCTGTCAGAAAATACCAAGGAAGCTGGATTTTGTCTTTGGCTGCTCCATCCTGAACCTGCATCACGGCCAACAACCAGGTAATACTAACCAGTTTCTACAATTACTCTCTTTCTCTCTCCTTCTTTCTTGATTCCCAGCGTCTCTCTATTGATAATGTTAGAAGAAATATTGTTTTAAAACTTTAAACAAGTACACTGTCTTGATTTTAAATATGTGTTCATATACTGAATCCCCCAGCCCTACCAAAAGAAATCATGGTGCGAGGCAACATTAGGTGAAGAAAAGAGAATGGTTTGAGATTTTCCCCACAATTTAGCGTATCCGATACGTGTCCTCAAATATCTGAAGAAGATCTCATCCGATACGGATATGACGACATAAACGAAGTTTCATGCTTTATAACTTAATGGTTTTAGTATGTTTTTACATTTTTGATCTCGATCCTACACTCTACCTTTCTCATAATAACAACATACTAATATCTGAATATTCATATTGGTATTTACACATATGTTCCTATTTACTTGGTTATTTTGTCTTTAATTTTAATTTACTTTTGTAATGATTATTTCAATATACTATAAATTCTACTTTAAAGTTCTTCATTGCTTTTTCTTTTGCAGCAATAGCTTTAGCCTTGAAATTTTGTTTGGAGATTTTCTTTTTGATTATGCACATACCAATTTTGGATCACCAAGTGTGACACATTATATTGATGGGTCTAGATCATCCATGCATGATAAGTTATGTAGAACGTGAATCCCTGTAGGTGATATGATATGATAGTCAGAATACCCAAAAAATGTTTGAGTCCTACCTGTTGGTTTTCCTAAAAAACAAGATCATCCTTACACTTGATTTTCTTCCCAACCTCTTAAAACTTCGCCAGAGTCCCTTTTTCGCTGTCTTCATGTTGCCCAATTTTTTTAGTGATCGTTTTTATGCATTAAGGAGGAAAATTAAAGTTTTTTTTTTTTGGTTTTAGGGCCATTTGGATATTATCAAGGAGTGCTAACACCTCTGTTTTCTAGACATTCAGACAATACGGAATCACCATATATGTACTTATTATGGTCATGCATCGTGTGTCAGTTATTTACATTGCATACTCCAAAGTTTAATGTATAGTCTCATTCTCAGTTCTTGGTTACCTATGCGCAACAGGGAAATCCTACAATCTGAACTTATAAGTGGAGTTCAGGAATTATGTGAGGATGAGTTATCATCATCCTCTATTAACGAAGAGGATGCCGAATCAGAATTATTAGAAGATTTCCTTGTGTTACTTAAAGAACAAAAACAGAAGGATGGCTCCAAGTTAGTGGAAGAAATTAGGTGCTTGGAAGCAGATATAAAAGAGGTTGAGAAACGCCAGACTAACAAATCTTCAGTTCTTTCTTGCTTATCTAAGGAGTCCCTCACTGTAAGGGGGAACAGTTTCCGTCATCAAGAACATTCTAGTTCAGAGGTAAAATCCTCATCCTCCCCTGCATCTGATAGTGAAATGAGGTTGACGAGGAATATCAGTGAGCTTGAAAGTGCTTACTTCTCGATGAGATCCAGTGTTCATCTTTCTGATAATGCCGCAGCAACACGTGCTGATAAAGAACTGTTAGAAAATCGAGAAAACTGGCATCAGTCATGGAAGGACAAAGAGAAACACAGATCCACTGATCGCCTAGGGGTCTTCTTTAATGGTTTGTGCAAGTATGCTCGCTACAATAAGTTTGAACTACGAGGGTTATTAAGGAATGGAGATTTTAGTAATTCTGCAAATGTCATATGCTCTTTGAGCTTCGACCGTGATGAGGACTATTTTGCTGCTGCTGGGGTATCCAAGAAAATAAAGATATATGAGTTTAATGCACTCTTCAATGATTCTGTCGGCATTCATTGTCCCGTAATTGAGATGTCAAACAAATCAAGGCTCAGCTGCATTTGCTGGAATAGCTATATCAGGAACTATCTTGCTTCAACCGACTATGATGGTGTGGTGAAGGTGCGTATTCTTTGCACATTACAATATTTTAACATTGTAAATCATGTTTGTCTGAATATCCATGACCAATCCAAGTTGCAAATTCATTATGCATCCCAAAGATTTGGAGAATCCTGACTGGTAATTCATCATGTTGGAGGGAACATATTATCAATAGAATGGACACCATCTGCAGAGGATTCTAAAGCACACACATCAGTTAGTAGGATTGGACTCCATGCATTCCTAATGTTGTGGTGCAAATAGTTATTGTTTGCCTTGCGGTATGCCTATACATTGATAAATTGAAATCTATGAGCTGTTACTGTTTGAGTGAAGTCAACACTCGTGCTGACTTTTTCTATCAACTGTGAAAAATGAATCATTCTCTCATGTGTTGAGTATGTTGGATATGACTTTTGTGGGTCTATAACATGGGGCTTAAATTTTCATCCTGCAAGAATAAAATTTATGTCAGACTTCTAATGGATTTAAAATACTTATGTTCTCAGGCTATTGTTGGCATAAATCAATTGTCCTGAATTCATAGGTAGCAAATTTGTCTTTATCATATTATCACTATAAAACAAGATTCCAACGAATTGCCTCTACAGTCACCTTGTCTATGATTAAGGCAAAAACCCTTCCAACTCCGTCTTGTCAGATAGTCGATTTTTGGCATGAGTTCATGTGCAGATCATATTATATCTATAACAAGGATGCTTGGCTTAATAGCAGGTTGTATTTTACCAAGGTATCATATAACATCATTGAAAATTTTGATATGATGCTTTATAACAATGCAAAGTTATACTTGAAAACACCCTAAAAGATTTTATAGTTGCACAAATGAATGAAATGTTTATCTGTAATTATTTACAATTTTTTTGATGTTGAATTGAGTATCGGGGGTTTCCTGACTTCTTTGAACTTGTTTTCTTGACTGTTATGTAATTTAGTTGCTGCTGCGACTTTTCTAAGTATCTGGTGTTTGCACGATTGGACCCCTATAACCATGAATACTTGCATGGGTGAATCACATTTTCAATAAATCTTGTTTTTAGTATAAATTCTCTCTGTAAATTGTATCCATCTTTCTCCTTTTTTTTGTTTGGTTTTGCCAAGGAGGGGGCGTGCGTAGTGTTACCTACTAAAATCAGATTGAGTAATGTATATATTTGTTTACCCTAATTGATATTAAATGCTAATTTATGTTCGGCATTTCAAACTGTGCCGTACCTTACCCACCCCACCCCTCTTTTCTCTTTTCCCTACACTTCTCTTCTGGTTTGCTCTCTCTGTTGATATTTGTACTTATTAAATTACCATGCATTGCTCATAAATGATGTGCTTGGGTGCTTTCAGTTATGGGATGCGGGAACTGGTCAAGGTTTTTCTCAATTCATTGAGCACAATAAAAGGGCTTGGTCTGTTGACTTTTCTCAAGTGGATCCCACAAAATTAGCTAGTGGAAGTGACGATTGTTCTGTCAAACTCTGGAGGATTAACGAGGCATGCTCTCTGCATCTTTTTCATTGTCAATTTCTTTTTGATTTAAGCATTTGCCGCTTAAAAGAGCAGGAATACCATGAGAACCTGTCTCTTTCCTCCCTTCTTCTCTCTCTCCCTCCATTTCTCATTTGTTGTTGGATATATTTTATCTTCTGAATCTTTTATTTGAATAATTACAAGGAAAATATGAGGGAGAGGGATGCCTTCTTTCTTGATATAATAAGCCGGAAATGTTCATTACAAGTGTCACATTATTTAAAGGGTTAATCTCATTTTACACCCTAAAAGATTGTTCAAATCTCAATTTGCACCCTCAAAGATAGAAATTTGTATCAATGTGCATCCCCAAAGATAAAAAATCTCAATTTGCACCCTCAAAGATAGAAATTTGTATCAATGTGCACCTAAAATTAAATTGATAAATTATACTTAGATCCACTCATGTTTGTCACTTAATCATTTGAACTCCTTCACATTTAGAATATTCCTCTTACATCTCACGACGTTTGTGCATGTATAACACATAACCACTTTTCGTTGATATCTGTTAATATAATCGTTAAAAAATATGATTTTATCCTAATAAAAAATTATAATTTCATATTACCTTTTATTTTGTGGATTTGATATACTCTAAAGTTGCAAATCAAGCTTACCATTTGAATGTCTAATAAAATGTAGATATTTATATAAAAGGTAATATGAAAAACATTATATAAATATTTATATTTTATTAGACATTCAAATGGTAAACTAGATTTTGAACTTTAGAATATATTGGACCCATAAAATAAATGGTAATATGAAATTATAATTTTTTATTAGGATGAAATTATATTTTTTAACGGTTATATTAATAGATATCAATGAAAATGGGTTACGTGTTATACGTGCATAAATGTCATAAGATGTAGGAGTAATATTCTAAATGTGAAGAGGTCTAAATGATTAAGTGACAAGTATGAGGGGATCTAGGTATAATTTATCAATTTAGTTTTAGGTGCACATTGATACAAATTTCTATCTTTGAGGGTGCAAATTGAGATTTTTGATCTTTGGGGTGCACATTGATATAAATTTCTATCTTTGAGGGTGCAAATTGAGATTTTTGATCTTTGGGGGTGCATATTGATACAAATTTCTATCTTTGAGAGTGTAAATTGAGATTTTTGATCTTTGAGGGTGCAAATTGAGATTCGAACAATCTTTCGGGGTGCAAAATGAGATTAAACCTTATTTAAATATGAGCTTTTTATCTGAGAAATTCTCAAGCTTGGCTGGGTCCTTCTTACGAGGGGCTGACTAGGCATCTAGTATTGGCGGTGTAACTCACATAAACATATATTGTCTGAAAGAATAAGTATGTTATTTCTCTCCCCTTCCGTGTTGTTGGTGTTCCTATCATTGTTGCTCTGGCTACTGCTTGAAATGTATGAAACTTCTACATGCATTACTCTAAAAGCCCATATAACATGATGATTACTTTTTGGTGCAGAAGAACAGTTTATGCACAATAAGGAATATTGCAAATGTCTGCTGTGTTCAGTTCTCTTCTAACTCCTCTAATTTGTTGGCTTTTGGCTCTGCGGATTACAAAACCTATTGCTACGATGTTCGGAATGTTTCAACACCCTGGTGTATATTGACTGGCCATGAAAAAGCTGTTAGCTATGTGAAATTCTTGGACTCTGAAACCCTTGTTTCTGCATCTACCGACAACACACTAAAGCTTTGGGACCTCAATAAAACCAGTTCCAGTGGTTTATCAACCAATGCTTGCATCTTAGCCCTCAGAGGCCATACTAACGAGAAGGTTGGTTTCTCTCTGTTAGGAGCTGGGTAATTTTCTGTCACCATTGCAGAATGTAAATAAACTTCTTTGTATACTTAATCATAATAATTTGCATTTATTCCTATAATTTACATGAATTAGTTGTGTTTTTTGGTTTCAGTATTTGTTTTAACTTTGTGCTCTTGCGTCCTCAGAACTTTGTGGGTTTATCTGTTGCTGATGGATACATTGCATGTGGTTCAGAGACAAATGAGGTGGGCATATTTCTATTCTGTATCAGTATCATAGGATTACATGCCCACTAAATTACTACGATAACTGTGCCACTTTTTTCTCTGTTCAATAATAAGACGACAACATTGGAGATTGGATATTGTGCTAAGTCAGTCTACTCTCTCACTATGAGTACCATCCTATTGCTTAAGGTGATCTAATATAATAAGCATAACAGGAGAGAAGCAATGTTGAAGAAAGAAGCATAAGAACAAAACATCACACTTCTTTGATTTTAGAAAAAAGAAGTGAAATCTGATGGCCAGTCTGTGATGGATTTAGTGGAACAAGAAGTTGTTTGGTTTGGACTGTTCAGAGTGTTTTCATTGCATCTCGGAAAATAAATTTTCTTATTAAATGGTTAAAATCCCCTGTAAAGTCTGCTTTTTTAATCATGGTTGAGTTTACTGATCCTTGTTGATTTTATCTTGTCAGCTTAATTTTAATGGGAAATATGACATGACTTGGAAAACACACTCCTATGCCAAATAATTTGGCTTAGTTATGTTTCTTAATCATTTGCTTGGTCAACATTAGTCTGTTTTTAGGTTTTCCATTGTGTATATTTAATTTGATTGTTATTATTGTTTTAGTCATGTCTGCCTTTGTCCAATGATGGGGGGATGTCCACAACTTCTTGAAGACATATATATATATATATATTCACTTGCCTAGCAGGCTAGCACATGACTTTTAAGTGATATGGCTGCTAGATTAAATAAGATGCCGGCACCTACCCTAGTAGGGACATGATGATTGAGATCCGGGGTTTACTCTCATTAAGTATTCATTTTCTGCAGTGGGAGGTAGAATTTGGAAGAGACCTAACATTGGCTACAGCTAGTTTTTTCCTTACGCCTTTCTTGATTTCTTGCCTTCTTCTTGCTGCCCTTATTTTTTTTTTTTTTGATAGGAAACTAAACTTTCATTTCATAGAACGAAAGATGCATATTTAAAAATACAATAAATGGTGGATAAGAATTCCACCCACACTAATGACTACCAGTAGCATTCCAATTGAGTTGCAAAACAGCCAAAGGAATATCACAAAATTCCTTGGTAACCTTTGCCCAAGGAATTTCTTGCTGCCCTTATTCTCTTCCTTCTCCTCTCTCCTCCTCACACTTTTCTGTTTCTTATGTAATAATTTCTGTTGTCAAAAGCTTGTTCAATTGGTGACTTCACTGCACAACCGATTACAGATTTCTTGCGCTAGAAAGCTCGCATTGCTGACTGGCTGACCTTATTTTCCCCCACATTCTTGCTGGCCCTTGTTCCAGAACTCTATCCTTCCAATTTTCCAGCAGTACTTGCTGTTCTAGAGTCTAGAAAAGGCTTAAACAGTCTGAAATTTCATTCCAGACTTCACCTAAAGTGAGCAGATCTTAGACTCTCAATCTTTGGTTTCCCGACAATCCAGAAGCTTTATTGTGATCTGCTGTGTTTCTAAAGGGATATTTTTTTTTTTTGGTTCTTTAGATTTAGTGTTATCTGAGTCACACAAGTAGAACTCATTTGGTTATTATTTTACTTGACTAGGTTTTTTTCTAATTACCTCCAGATGTTCTTCCTGCTTTTATTCTAAGTTTCTAACCCTAGAGTTGCGGCAGTTATAGTTCATTTTCTGTACTTTTTGATGAAATCTGATTTTCTTCTCTATTTTCTTGTATTTGTTTTGTTTCTCTGCAGGTGTTTGCTTATTATAGATCTCTGCCTATGCCGATCACTTCCCACAAATTTGGTTCCATTGATCCTATTTCTGGAAAAGAGACTGATGATGACAACGGACAGTTTGTTTCAAGTGTCTGCTGGAGACGGAAATCTGGCATGGTTGTTGCTGCTAATTCCAGTGGGTGCATAAAATTGTTGCAGATGGTTTAAAATAAAGGCGATCCAATCAGGGATCAATTGTGGAATTGCTATCACAAATGGCTTTGCAGCATGCAATTTCTGGCTGTTATGTCTGAAGCACCATGCTTCAGTGTGGGCTGGATGTTTAACCCCAGGAAAACTCAGAAAATCTGAAGACATTCCAGGTTCTCCTGCTCGTGAAATAGAAGGGCTTCTGGTTTTCGTCTCTACTCTAAGTCTCATGATGAATCTTTTGTGGTCCTGAGCATTGGGACAGAATGGAAGTCTAGGAATTGAATCAGATTCAAGAACTATGAGCCAAACGAATGACAGCAGTGTCTTCGAAGACACTAGATCTTAGAACTTCATAGTTCATAGTTAATGCAGCCCCAAGAAATTGCTAGATGAAAAGCAGAGATCATGTTGCAGTTGCCAGAGATGCCTGAATAACTGCTCTCATGTTTGCCAAGAGATCTACATCAAATCCAATGGTAGCAGATTGGCTTTTCAGATAAAGCTATAATTGCCATTTGTTTGATTGAAACTTGAGGTTGTGATGAAAGCTGGCATTGATTTTGGATCAGATTCTCAGAACTGATCTGTACTAGGCGTAAAGTCCCATAAATTTTAGATGGAGGACTCACGTATGTTACCGTGTTGACTGTTCATAGGATACTGTTGCAGCTTAGGCATATTTGTTGATTAGACATCCTGTAAGCAGGGTTAAACAATTGGATTGTTGCCAAACCTTACATTGCATCTAACACTCGATCAGCTGATTGTATATTTCCTATATACTTGATGTATATGAGATTTTTTTGTTAGAATATGTGACTTGTTCCATGTATGTGTGACTTGTTCTATATGCTAGTCAATTCTAATATAATCTAGGCAGGTTACAGCTGGCAGCCCAACCCCCCTCAAGAAGCTTGAAATTTGGATAGATGGGTGATGAATAATCTGTTACACTTCCATATGAAAAAATAGAAATTTTGACTTGCAACAATTTTTTTTTGGAACAGGCTCATATAAGCATGCTAATGTAACTGTCTCCTTCTCTTTCAGAACTACAGAAGTTGGGGAAAATTGTGCGCACTCATTCTTAAGAGCTACATTGTGTATGAAGTTGTAGGCAAGCACAGCAACTGTTGTGCTGGGTAATGGTGAAGGACGATGAACTATGCTACCTCCGAATCTGAGAAATGACCTTTTCTATGTCTACTTGGGCTCATGACTGTTGGTAATGGGCTCTCTCGACTCATCCTCGAACAGCGAGCACATGGATTCAGAGGTGATGAATATCCTTCTAGGGTTGGTGAACATCTTGGCGATGAGCATACTTTCGGTGTTTGTGTTGGTGAAGAACTTGGTGAGTAATGTTCTTTCCGAGCTCGTGTTGTCACAGTCAGTGTTCGTGTTGGTGAAGAACTTGGTGAGTAATGTTCTTTCTGAGCTCGTGTTATCACAGTCAGTGTTTGTGTTGGGGAAGAACTTGGTGAGTAATGTTCTTTCCGAGCTAGTGTTGTCACAGATCTTGGTGAATGTCCTTTCGGTGTTCCTGTATAACAATATCAACATGCTGAAATCAGTGAAATTCCTTCATCATCACATTTGACACGTAATTTTCCAAATTCTTAACTGTTACGAAATTTGATTATGAGACTTGGAAGTATGAACTAACCTAGACCTTTACTTGTCTTTGTCTCTTTCAAACTTCGTGTTAACAAAATTTTCTTCCCTTGAATTTTAGGCCGACTTGGCCTCTGATTTCTTGATATTGCAGACGGGGATTTTGTCTCTGGAGTTTCAGGACAGACTGGCCTTTGATCGGCTGTTGTCGTGGACAAATTTTTTCTCTCTGGAGTGTCGGGACAAAATGGCCTTTGATCCTCTGTTGGTGAGGATGACTTATTCAGACTCTCAGAACATACAGGCCTTTGTTCAGCTGCAGTTATCGTTGCAATTTTCCTTTGTAGAGTCTCAGAACCACCTGACCTATCATCAGCCGTCGTTGACAACATTGTATTCTCTGGAATCTCAGCGTAAGCCAGCTTCTGATTGGCTGCTGTTGAAATTTTCCTCTGTGGAGACTCTGAACAAGGTGATCTTTGATCTATTGCTACCCTCCATGACATATTCCCCCTTGGACTTTCAGCATGAATTGATCTTTTATCAGTTGTCAATGACAATGATTTCCTTCCTGGACTCTCGGAACCAACCGACCTTTGATCAGCTGAGAAAAGCTTCCTATGTGGGATTTCGGAAATAACTGACCTTTGATCAACCACGGTTGACAGATTCTTCCTATCTAAAATCTCAGAATAAACTGTTCTTTGGTCACTCCCTGTGAGGAACAGATCATCCATTAGAGCCACGTGCTCATCCCCACAAAATGAAGATGGCTTGCCAGTTAGAGCTGTTTCCTTTGCTAATTCCCAACTCTTGTCTTTAGAGCTCCCAGAAGATTTTTCCCTCTCAATAAGCCTGAAAGCAAATATCTGAAAAGGAATCTGTGACACTGGTGCCAAATCAACTCTACCCTCTCCATGAAACTTCTTCGAGTATCCTGCCTCAATGTCACAGTAATCGACCAGTGGAGGTGGCGACTCAGGTTGGCCATGATCAGGGTTGATCACAAGGATTTTCTTAATGTAGCGTAAGATCCTGCAAATTGATGAAAAACTTGGGCGATTAATTGGATCAGTGTGCCAGCATTTTCTTGTTAAGTTTGCAAGGTATTTTGGTGAAGGGTATGGAAAAAGAGGCCTCTCCCCTGCTCTTATATTGCGAACCATCTTGTCCCCTTGAAGATGACCATCTTCAAAGGGAACTTTCCCTGTCAGAAGCTCGAAGCAAAGCATCCCAAAGCTGTATACATCAGCTTTCTCTGTATACTTGGAGGTACATTTACGACCTGGTCGTTCTTGTTCAGAAAGAATTTCTGGGGCATACCATATGACTGGATTGGTCTCATTTTGTTTTGGAGATCGCGAGGTGTAACTCTTGATGGAGGTTAAGCCGAAGCCAGTCACCCTTGCATGAAAATAACCTTCTATGGAGGAATTCCTTGCCTTGAGTAGGACATTTGATGGGTTCAGATCTCCATGGTAGATTTTTCTCGAGTGTATATATTCCATTCCTCTTGCAATCTGAAGCATGATATCAACAGCAACTGGGACAGAGAATGGAACCCGCTTCATTTTTCCAGCGTTCTCTTTGATGCAAGTGGAAAGATTCTTGTTCATCAGCTCCATCACAAGGTAACCCTCTTTCCTTTCCTCGTCATAAAACCCACAATGGTATTGCATTATGTTGGGGTGGGAAAGTGATAGAACTAAAGAAATCTCAGCATACAAGGGTTCAATTTCTCCAAAGAAAGTTCTTAAACCAAAACTTTCTCCCAACCAATGGATCTCCTTACAATGGCTTCCTCCTGATCCTAATCGTCGCCTCACATGGTAATCATTTGCTCCAACTAAGATTGAACTTGGCAAGAGCTTTGCGTCTAATGTTTCTGATCCATTTAGTTTCTTAAGCAATAGGTCCCCAAGCTTCTGTTCTTGCTTTGATGGAGTTGTAGATGCTGCACTTTTCCTCTCCCTTATTGTTTCGAGAAGCAACCATCTGTCTTCTTTCCAAACACTATCCAACCGATTGCATATCTCTTGAGGAACTAAGTACTTTTTTCCAAACATCCATTGGAAAAGTGTTGGGTCATTCCATTCTGAATCGTACTTCCTCACGAGAGCAAGTCTCCTCTTTTGCATATCATCTAGGTTTAGTCCCGAGATCTCTGCAGCAGTCTCGATGGCCTCAATGACCACTGGAAAGCAACTGAGCAAGTTGTGAATGTGAAACTCCACACAGCTCTTGTTCTGATGGAGACTAATTGCTTTGCCCCACCAGTCTTGGACATCCAAGCAATATCTGATGTAGACTTCACCTTCTTTGAAAATCCTGTGGAGCTCTCTCATAGGAAGTTCAAGAGCTTTCCATTTGGTGTTCCTCTCATCCAGCCTCAGGTTTTGCCTGATCTCCTCCTCAATAACCTCAAAGGCCAGAGTGAAGATATCCAAAAGCAAACAACACTGCCTCTGATTGATTGGAATATCGTGTTTTAACACCATAAGAGCCTTTAAACTCCCCAAAACCTCCCCCGTCTGCCGGAATTGATCCATTTCAGCTTTTCGGAAATGGCAAAACCAGCGAAGGGGATGCCTCTCGAAACCCCCAAGACAAATTAATCCCTACGAATTCAAACCCAAAAATCAGAAAACCAATATTGCCACTTGGCCTAGGCAAGAAATTTTTACATGAAACCCATAAACCAGCTATGAAAAAAACAACAAATTGTGCAGTTGTCCACAAGAAAATGAAATAGATTCATGTAGACTTGTGTTTTGCTGCGCAGAAGACCACAGAACACACACACACACACATATGAGCGGGGAAAAAATAATAAGTGACCTATAGGCCTGAAACGGATCATATGTGATGTAAACAGAATGGAACTGGTGTTAACAAGTTGTTCTTAGATGAAATATGCATCGAAATATCAAAACCAACACAGAAAATAAAACAGGAAAAGTGAAGATCAGCCTGATTTATTACCTGCTCAAGAAATTCTTCTGTCTGCACGTATATTGATCAGTCACAAAGGGGTTTTGCAACCCATAAACGCCGAATTTGTACGGATTGCTAAGATCTAAATAGGTCGAGAAAAACCCGTTCCGATCTTGTGAAAAAAGCCGCCAACCTGAAATGGGTATTGCCGAAGAACAAACCCAATTTCCTCCAAACTCTCGATAGAATATCGCACAATCTCCAGATGAAATGGCAGAGCTATGATATTAAAAAAAGTGCCAATGAGTAGAAACTAGCAGATGCATACAAATTTTATGACGTCTGTCCGACTACCAATCTAGAAACTGAGAATAAAAAAGTAACGGAAATTCCAAGATGAAACGGTCAGGTTGGTCCATCTAAGCAAAATCCTGTTGATTTTCTTTCAAGATTTTTTGTTTTGGACCAACCTGAAGAATTTGTTGCAATTTGGAATTGAAGTGTTTGTGGCCGTTGATACCTCCGTTTCTTTTGGGGTCACAAGTCTATTTAAATATGTTCCCGCGAGTTTCGTCTCGCCTTGCCTCTCTCTATATCCCTTCCTCTCTCTCCACGCATGCATATGTAGGTAGAACTTAGGTAGAACTCTTAATGGATGGGGACGGGTTTGTGCCTAAGTGATGTCGTATTAATATGGGTTAATTACGAAATACTCCATTCAAGTTTAGGTCATATTCAATTAACTTTCATTAGTTTTAGTTTCAACAATTTATCATCTCAAAGTTTTAATATGTATCAATTAAGTCAAGTCGTTAATTTTGATAATAAAAAATGATAGAAAATAGTCATTTGCAAGTCGCATGATTTCAAATTTTATGAAGAGAGAAGACCACTCTTCACATCATTTGTCTTAGAAAGAAGAATGAGGAGTTTTTTGAATTCAAGATAATTTTCTCTTTTCAATAAAATTGAGATCATGTGACTTAAATTCCATTATTTTTCATTGTGGAAACAAACAATTTGAGTTAATTGAAAAATGTATAAATTTTGATTTGTTGAAATTTCCACTAGAGGGAGTTAATGGCACCTTATATATATATACTAGGGTAACCCGTGCTTGAAGATATGGTGTAACGTAAGTGAGAAGTGATAAAATTGGGAGGGTAGAAATTCAATGTGAATGATTTTGAGAGGGATGTTGGAGGCTGTTAGATGAGTCTATTTGAGACTATCAAATGAATTTATTGAAGTCTGTCATATTTAATATTATAGATTTGACACAAATAAAAGTAATATTTTTTAATATTTAATCTTCTTACAAATTTTATATTTTACTCATTTTTAGCTATATATTCCATAATTTTTGAACCAAAGGAAGCTCCAAAAAATAAGACTAATACTCTAAGAAATTAATTTTAATTTGCTAATTTTAAGGGATTTGATATAGGGATTTTTTTTTTTTTGGGTTCTAGTACCCAACTTGTTTGATCCAATTAATTTTTTTCATAAATCATTGCAGCGGACCCAATTTAGAATATCCAAAAAAATATATAAAACATATATAACTAAAAAATAAAGTATTCAGTGTGGTCCTACACCCCCTCCTCTATCCGCCACTGCCACATAGAGATAGAGAGTGAAGAGTGAGAAGAGGAAAGTAAAATTTAATCTAAATAGTTTTTAGAGAATTGTTGATAGTCGTTGGATGAGTTTATTTGAGACCGTCGTATGAATTTATTGAAATCTTTTGTATTTTATATTATAGATAAATCCACAAAATATGATAGAATTGACTTAAAAAATATTAATTTATATAAATGTAATCAAAATTAACTTTAATTTATATACATGTAATCAAAATCAAGTCAAATATAATATAAATTAAAAATCTAATTTATCAAAAAACATATTGCTAAAATATGTTCTATTAAAAAAGTTCTATAAATATTATTTATAAAATATTATTTTTTTAGTTAGTACAAGTTATTAAAAAATTATTAATTTATAAAGATATATTAGTGTTAAATTTTCTTAAAATATAAAAAAAATTAGTCTTGAACTTTTGATTCAAGATACTTGTAAGACATATTAGTTTGAGATAATTAATTAAATAAATAAAATTAAAATTAATTATATTCAATATAAATGTGTTAAGTAGCGACCTTGTTTTTTTTATTTGTTAAATTGATGAGTTTTTTTAATCAAAATGTTATTATTGTGTCTTATAAAAATTCAAGATGTTACACTACAAAGATAATATTAATGCCAAATTTGACTCATTTAATTATTATGTTAAAGAAAATCCTGTGTTGCAAGATTAATCGTAATCGTTGATCGATTGAGAGAAAAATATTAAGGAAAAAATGGTAATTTCTTGACTGTTGGATGAATGAATTTGAGATTATAGGATGTGTCCAAAATCAGTTGTAATCGTTGACTGGTTGGGGAACAAAATTTTAAGGAAACAAAAAGGAATTTCTTGACCGTTAGATGAATGAATTTGATACTGTAGAATGAGCTTATTGAATCCGCCCTATATATATATAGTAATACGATCATGAAAACTCTCCACCGTAATATTTAGTGGATACTTTTTACATAGACTGTTGAATTTCGATCTAATGGCTACCAAACAAAGATGCTTAAAATTTATTGTCAAAATCTACCTAATTTAATTCTTAACTAAATAAGAAATATTTATGACTTATTAATTGTAATCTAGTCCTATAAAGAAAGCTTTTAAGGTTAGTAAAAAAAATTCTTTTTTTATTAATTAGTATTGAACAGATCGAACCTAATGACCTAGATGATTTTTATCTCATATCTATATCAACCACCTAATTTATTATACTTGTTTGGATTAAAAAAAAACTAAAAATACCTCTTCAAACCTATCTCCTCTCACGTCAATCTCCTACCAACTATAACTCTTATACTCAAACCCTCTTGACGACTATTCTTGTCGTCTTCATTAACTCAGATAATTTCGTCATGATTCAGACCCTTTGCTGCACCTAAGCTGTTAGAATAGTTTAATCAATTGGTCACTTAATTGTTTAGTTGGTTAAATAATGAGTTCTTAAAGACTTTGGTGATGTAGCTTCTAGGTTAAAAGTTTAAAAGTGATGGTATTGATGAGTTATGTTCGGCAAATTGATTTAATAAGCCAATGTCATTTTTTGAATTTCAATTTAATGCTTAAGCCTTTTTTTTTATTGGGCACAAAAGTGCAATATGTTCATCAAATTCGACTGTGTAGGTATTATTTGTCAATGTCTTTTTAAAGTTAGTAATCAATTGCAGATTTTTTTTTTTTTGGAGGTAATTTGATGTGTAGTTATATTGTATCAATTCAACAGATTTTTTATGCAAGTGTGGAAAATTGACATAGCGACAAATATAGAAGGAATTGAAATCATACCTTCTATGCATACAGATGTAAAACCATTTTTTATTAAAGAATTCAATTCTATTGATGAAACATTTTTTTTACGATGCCTATGCAAGGATTTTTGATATGCAATCCTAATTTTAAACTTAATAAGCACTAATAATCGTAAAATTGTGGTATTAAGAGGACAAAGTTGTGTTTATATAATGAACCATAAAAAAGAAAAAGAAAAAGAAAAAGAGGAATAGTTGATAATTTGACCAAAGAATTGAAAATATCTATAACTCATTATGTTTATTTTTGTTTATTTTTAACCCAAAAAGGTATAATAAATTAGATGGAAAAAATTATCGTAGTAGTACAACAACGGTTCAAACTAGCAGTAATTCTTTCACATGAAGCTTGGGAAACCATTCGGTCATTGGGTTAGAATTTTTAATAGATGAGTAAAGATAAAAATCATCCGGTCATTGGATCGATCCGTTAATATTTAAGAAGAATCAATAATTTTTTTATTTATTAACCTTTAAGACTTTCATTATAAGACTAGATCACAACTAATAAGTCATAGATATTTCCTATTTAGTTAACAACTAAATTAGGTAGATTTTGACAATAAATTTTGATCATTTTTGTTTGGTTTATATATATATATATATATATATATATATATATATATATATATATATATAGTAAGGAGTATTAATGAACCAAAGACGCGTTGATAAATTAATGGCAACTTGATCCAAACTTAAAGTGGGTATTTTGTAATTAACCCTAATAATATTTCTTTATCGATATTCAACTAATTTATAATTGTGTAAAGTTGGAATCGTGACATGAGTTTGTATCTTACATACGTTGTGTATAAATTATGTTTAGGGTGTTCATCTCGTATTTAATTGAGTTTATGCCGATTCATTTATTTGACTGCTCTAATAAGTCTATCCGTTTATTAATCAAACATGTAAAGACTTAACTCAAACTCATTAATATCATATCGATTTTCTATCGGATTCACGATTCGTGTTTAAAATTATCAGGTCAACATTTAGTTGCACACATGTTTTTTTGTCACATACTGCTGTTCCATAATCATCATGCATCTCTACCGTCCTTTTAATTGTTTGTCATCTCCATGGATCTTCTACCGATAAAAAGCTCTCTTTTGGTTCTAAGCAAACGTCTTGATCATGGAGTGAAAGTTGGGGTCTGTATCATCTTTCACAGGAATTTATGAGCCATACGGATCGTATTTGAGATAAAGTATAATTTTTCTAACCAGTACATTGAGAAACTGTTGTCAGAAAATTTAATATGGGGGATGATCCGTGATGCAAGTGTAGTTGAAAGATGATTTAGACTTAAATTTTATTAAATTTAATGATCTTGAATTGGCGTCAGATTTTAAGTTAATTGAACTAGTATTATCATCAACGACACCTGCGTCACGGATCATTCCCATATTAACTACACTTGTTCAAGTAACTTATAATCTCACGCTAATTCAAAATCATTTAATTTAATAGAATTAAAAATCGGGCATCAATTTTATCTGATGATACTTAGAATAAATTCTAAGTTTGAGCTCAGACACAGAGATCAGTCATGGAGGTCAAGCAAGCATCCTGAGCTCAGGAAACTAGACCTTGAGTTCCCTTTGAAGGGAATAATAAATGAAGAGAGGGGGAGACAGCTGACCAACAAAGAGAATCCCCAAAATAGCAGAAAGCTACTGTCAAGGCGCAAAACTCTCAATTAGTCGAGGTCTTCACCCAGAATCAAAGACAATCCCTTGGATGAAAGGCAAGGATCTTGGTGCAGATCCCTTAAGAATATGAATTAAACTATAAATACAGAACAATGTCTCTATTGAAGGGGTGAGCAACCCTAATTGTATTGGAACACAGTTGAAATTCGTTAAAGCAATCAATATAGATCTGAGAAGCAAAAGTCTCTATTAAAGAGTGGATTAGCCGAACTTTCAAGCGGATGAATCACTATAATTTCAATACGTAAATTAGCCCAATTCCTTAAGAATTTTTTCACAATTCTCGCGAGTCTTGTAACTCAGTTTAACATCTATTTCCACGGTTCATACGTTCTGCTCGTTCGCCTAATTAAACCAACATTATCAAATTGCAGCACTTTTTAACCCTTAAACGCAGTGGGAAATGGTGGGCGCAGGACCAACTATTATATGCCAATGGGCGGCGTTTTTTCATGCGGAGGTGTGACGACCATGACCGTAAGTAATTCAATAAGATAAGGCCACGTCTCGTTGCATCAACAGGGTCGACGTGTAACCGGCTTTGACTAGTTCGGTTTGGTGCGCGAGACACCTCCATTACCTAACCCAAATGGCGACCATTTCAACAGAGATTGAGATTGGGATTGAGATTGAGACAAGAGATACTAGTTCAAGGGAGTGCTTTCTGAGTACGTTAATTACAC